AGAGCATATTTAACATAACTTAATAACAATCAGCTAATGTTAGGCACACCATTATTCTTAGGATTTAATACTCCATAATAGAATTTGCACTCTTATTAAGGAACGTTCAGAGGAAGGGGATCTGGCTGAAAAAAAAAAAAAGATTGGGGGGGGTACAGAGAGGAAGTAGATATAAAATAGGCTGGTAGTGTGTGAGCAGTCACTGGTCACTGCATTTCTCTGACTGACCCCTGCACCAGATCAAGGTAGTCTATCCTTTCTTATTATTAAATACTTTCTTAACTCTTTCCATGTAATCTCAGTCTCTCCCCATCTGTGAGTGCTATAAGGTGTAGATGCCAGAAACTGGAGAGACCCAAGTGGCTAAATTTGAGATCTGCAATTGCAGTCAGACCGCTGGTGATAGCGGTCCTAATGTCTGTGGTGCCAGCAACTGGAGTGAAGGAGGGTCTCAGCATCAGCAGCTGAAGAGAGACTACAGATCACAGGAGTGTGTGCCTGCAGTGAGTGAATTTAGTGCCAGTGACTGGAACCAAACCTTGGGTGATGTTGTCTCCTGTACCTGGTGCCAACTGAAGCAGGTGAGAATCCCAGCATGAGCAAGTGGAGAGAGGGCCAAGAGTGATAAGGCTTATGTGCCTGGGCATGAGCCAGTGGGAAGACCAGAATGTTTATATTTTCCCCCAACCTGGTGTGTGTGTGCATGCATGTATGCGCGTGTGTAACTCCTTAGTGGACCAAGCTTTACTATCTGGTGAGTAGGAGGCCTGGTATCTGGGCATCAATATTAGATGAGCTGAGGTCTCATGCTACTATTCATGAGGTCCACAAATGTGTCTCTCTTTTTTGAACCAGAGAGTAAAGGGCTGTGAGTTTTCACTAGTGAGCTTCAGTCCTGATCAGAGAGGATTGTGATTTGACTGTTTTAGATATGTTTTATGTGAGTTCTGGTGATGTTCACATGTGGGTGTTGTTAAAAACAGCGCCCTGTCTGTGGGCTGCCTACGTAGCTGTCTGCATTACTGTCCTCTGGATGTGTGTCTCTGGCATACATGTTCATCTTTGCAAACAGAAAAGCGACATTTGCATCCATTAACCTAGGACAGAGGGACTCCCATGTCTCTGAGTACACTGGACTGGACTCTAGCAGCTGGGAAAGAGGCTTCTCTGGTTTCAGAGTCGTCCAAAGGAGATGCCTTTTTTTAATAAAGAAGATGTCTTGGAAATTCTGATGGATGTTGTGGTCCTGTTCTGAAGATGCACAGAAAATTAATGTGACTCACTCACAACCTAGAGGAAATAGTGATATTTTAACTGCCTCTGTAATGGTAATGCTTAGTGTGGTTAACCTAGACAGTGTTCAATGGAATAAGAACAGTAGTTTTCCATTTGAATGTGTTTTGTTGAATCTGGAGGGCCTTTTACTCCTTAGATGGGAAGATGGGAGATACTAGAAGTGATTAAAAACCAACCCTCTATTGAGATCTTCAGATTACTGTTTTTTTTTCACATATTCCTGTAAGGGAGATCTACACTTCCTGCCTTCCTCAATGGTCTAATTAACCTCTTTACTGGAATAATGAGCTCCCTCCTCACTTGTGGGACAGGACATACTATAGGAATGAGGTGGTTTTGCTTGGAGACACTTTGCTAGAGCTTCATTCATCCATGTGCTTTAGTTTAAAATGGTCTTCTGTTCACTTAATCAGTGAATTACAGCCAGAGTACTTTAAAAAAGGTCATAATTGTAAAAGGACTTCACTATACAAATAGGAAGAGAAGAATTTATTGTTTGTACCATTATTGTTTTAACAGTCTAATAGTTCAATTTGTCTAATACTAACACTCATAGCCCAAATTAATACCCAAAGCTTTATTAATGATAACCCTAAAAATATTATAAAAAACCACCTTCTTACTATCTATTTTTCACTTTGGTATTATGCTCAGTGTTCCGCCTGGTCCCTAGAGCAACACATCAATCTTCCTCAAGACAAGGAGGCAAGACTTGCAGCAAGTCATCAGTATCCTCACATCTTTGCCAAGAGGAGTGTGACATTCATGCTGGAAGTTTCTCCTCTGTCAGTCGAGGGTCCACCTCAGACTACTTTTACATTTTTTCATATCATTATCTGCTTCCTTTTTCCAGGCTGCCAGATGCAGCCTGACAGTTCTCCCCAGCCACCCCCCACAAAACGTTATGATTTGTCAGGCAGTGACTGAGGTGGGGATGGAGTTACCCTCTCCCCAGAGGAACCACCCCA